TGTCCAAGACGTCGCAAGTTTTCATGAGATCCAAAAATTAGGCTCTTTCATTATTGTCATTTCATTACTTAATCTTAGTACAGGTTGGGGCAAAAGGGTCTCATAATTTTATGAAATCTATCCCACAGATAGAGTACATGATTATATGAAAGAAAAAAGTCCAAAATTTCGGGGTGGTTTCGCATTATCACGGACATCTGTACTTTGAAAATTCATAACTCATGCACACATTTTTCGACACTTAATTTAAAAAAAAAAATCCTCAGCGCAGAGAATCACTTTTTAATTTAGTTTTGCAAATTCCGCCAGATAACTTTTATGACAGGATCGCATGTTCTTTGATAATGCTGCCTACGGACATTTTTCAGACGGACCAAGAGCTGAAGATCGTCGTCTATTATAATTGCATCGAATACCTCGCATTTTGGTGTTGCGACAGCTATTGCTTCAACTATAGAAGTAGTCAGAGATTCATGAGCATAATTAACATCATCTTTGGTTTGCAAAGGAATTTTTGGATCAAAGCTGTACTCCTGACGTGTATGTTCCAGAAGGTCACCCTTGAGAAAATTCTTTCAAAAAGTTTGGTTTCAAATGATGAAAGAATTTGATGTTTGATACGTCTATGAACAATGAATGAAATGAACGCCACCACAGGCTCCATCGAGACGATCATTTCGAAAAATGAAACAATCTACGCCCTTATGTTCAGTTTTAAGGAACATTTCAGTTATAACGGCGATATGTACGTTATGAACGCTCAAAAAGTAAAATAGCTCGTCTTCATTATCTTAAAGAGGTCGAGCATTCCAATTCAAAATATTTAATGACTTAAAATTCATTACTGAGTTTAAGTGTCATGACTATGTGGTTAGCAAATTTAGTTCAAGTTTGAATAGCATCAAACTTGGAGTTAGTTTTCAGCATATCAGAAATCATTTTGACTTATGATTTCTGTACCTAAGTCAAAATAATCCAAATTCCCGTTAGAATTATGTTGGCTACAATTTTTATTTCAATTTCTACGAACTCCATTTACTTGCTGAACTTTGTTAGCAGCTTTGAAGAATTTGAAGCTAGTGAGCTGTTTGTACCTACGGGAAATTTGTACCTGGTCGGGAACGTCTCTTTGCGAGTCTTACATTCCCAACAATTTAATTTATGGTTTTCACCACAATTGGAACATAGAAATTTCTTAAGATCTTCCTTCACATGCCAGGCGTACAGGTGACAGCAAGTTACTGGAGAAGACGTTTGAATCAGCCAATGTACGGCATTCTGCCCGACGTCCAATTTGAGGTAAAAATTGAATTTAATGAAGTTTGAAAGTTCCCTGCGAAGAGCATGGAAATCGGAAGTGGTTACCACAAAAGAGGGGACCTTTTCATTCATGGCATCAAGCCGGGAAAGTTCATTATAATTTTTCCTGGATGATGGAGCATTCTCATCATCCGTGAGCATTTAAAATTGATTGCTCAAATGAATTTGATCAAAGGGGGGATCAAGAGATTGCCCTTTTTCTTTTGTGTTTAGGCACCATGGCGGCAGAAAACCGTTTCTCCAAATCGACTTCCATACATATTATTATAATAATCTAAAGGATCGAAGAGGAATTTTCCAAGTCGATGTCCAAGCAGGATTACCTCGGGTAGGGTCCAAACAAGGATCGAAGAGGAATAAGAGTCAAATAAGGTAGAACATTTCCGGGTAATATTTAGCACTGAGCTGTGCTGTTTAAATGTGTTGTAGCTTTTCCTTCAGCAAAAAGCAAATAGATCCGCACGACAAGAGAGCATAGACCTATTGCTTCGTGCATACCTACAGGCGTATATATGAGCTTGTAGTTACTTGTGGAACACTTGGTATAAGGTGAAAGATTTATAACTTTTTGTACAAAGATCAAATCGATGGGGAAATTTGCTCAATGTTTAGATTTTTGTTAAGCAAACGAATAGGATAGTTTCGTTTCCCATGTATTTTCAAAAAAAAAAAAGTATGCCAATAATCACAAAACCAGTAAAACTCGAAAGAACTGCTCATGTAAAAATACTTGAAAACATCGTATTTTAACTGCTTGACAAATTGTAATCTTTGATAATGCATGAAATGGTGCATTAGTTTTTTTTCTTTTAAAAAAAATAAAAATGGCTATTTGAATTCTACCAAAAAGTTTATTAAGTCCGAATAGTATGAAAAAAAAATATCGAAGTGTTTTAAAATCAAAAAATATAACGGTGTACGGAAGGTCGTCGAAAATTAATTTAACTCTGGGTAAGCTAGAAATCATTTGGCCTAATGATCATTCATAATGACGTCAGGATACTTTAGAATTTAGATGACCTAAACTGGTAAAGTACGGCCGAAGGGAGAAGCTTACTGCCCCAAAAGAAATAATGGAATTTTGATGATTCGGGAGGAAATGCTATGAAGCTTTTGTGCGATAATTTATTAGCTAGAGAATGTTCTGAAGAGGAAAAATTATCTAGCCAATAAGTTATCGCACTAAAACTTGATGTTGATATTAGTACACTGAAACCTCCATTTACGAACCAAAACGGGGGTTCGTAAATCGAATTAGTGCGTAAAAAAAAACCTCGTTATTTGGGATTTACTTCGTAAAAAGAAAACTCGTTATTTGGGATTTACTTCGTAAAAAGAGGTTTTTCAAAATATTGTCAAATAACCCACAATATGGGTATTTTTGGAATCGGAGTGATGTGTAGGGACCGGAAATCGATGTCTGACGCCATTTTGAAAACCAAGATGGCGGCTTCCGGTTACATAAAAACAGAAAAATAATGTTAAATAACCCCACAATATGGGTATTTTTGGAATCGGAGTGAAGCCACCATCTTGGATTTCAAAATGGCGTCAGACATCGATTTCCGGTCCCTACACGTCACTCCGATTCCAAAAATACCCATATTGTGGGGTATTTGGCAGAATGTCCAAGTTTTTCTGTAACCGGAAGCCGCCATCTTGGATTTCAAAATGGCGTCAGACATTGATTTCCGGTCCCTACACATCACTCCGATTCCAAAAATACCCATATTGAGGGGTATTTGACAGAATTTCAAAATTATTATGTTACCGGAAGCCGCCATATTGGATTTCAAAATGGCGTCAGATATTGATTTCCGGTCCCTACACGTCACTCCGATTCCAAAAATACCCATATTGTGGGGTTTATGACATAATTTCCATGTTTTTATGCTACCGGAAGCCGCCATCTTGGATTTCAAAATGGCGTCAGACATTGATTTCCGGTCCCTACACGTCACTCCGATTCCAAAAATACCCATATTGTGGGGTATATGACAGAATTTCCATGTTTTTATGCTACCGGAAGCCGCCATCTTGGATTTCAAAATGGCGTCAGACATTGATTTCCGGTCCCTACACGTCACTCCGATTCCAACAATACCCATATTGTGGGGTATTTCACAGTATATCCCAGTTTCCCAAAATCACAAAAAAACTCGTTAGGTATTTGGAATTTACTTCGTAAAAAGAAAACTCGTTATTTGGGATTTACTTCGTAAAAAAAACCTCGTTATTTGGGATTTACTTCGTAAAAAGAGGGACGTAAATTGAATACTGCGTAAAAAAAGACTTCGTAAACGGAGGTTTCAGTGTATAACGTTTCCTCCCAACTCTTAAAAGCGTTAACTTCACGAATGAAGTAATAAAACACTTTGATTGAATATGTTTTGATGTTTCTAAAAATATTGGAAAAAGATATCCAGAATTTCAAAAGTAGTGTTTTCCTATTTTTGTCAAGAAAATTTACGTGTAAAAACATTTTCCTGAGCCATTGTGGCACAAATTTCGACTCAAAAAGCCGCAGTCGACAATTTTGTTTTTTAGAGTACATTTTTTGGATGATGAGATAGAGTGAAAATTTGTTCATGTTATTTTTTTTAGGAATCTAAGGAAAACAAATGATTTTATTGAATTTTTTTATAGGGGAAATGTCAGCTTCGGCAATACCTTAACCTATTATTGTCAGGGGGTATACAAAGTCCTACAGCACTCAACTTTGGCCAATAGATGCTCTAAAACACAATGTATCCACATGCCAAAATTGAGCTCTCAAGGACGTTGTTTACCCCCTGACGATAATAGGTTAAGGTATTGCCGAAGCCAATATTTCCTTCTGCTTCCAACATTTTTAGAAAAAAATCAAATAGTGGCAGAAAAAAAAGTTTTCGGTTAGCTTCCTCTCAACCCATTAGATTGAATATCTCCTAATGTATTACCGCTTCATCTAGGGATGCCACATGCTTTCAAGTATTCTTTAAGAAAAGTCAGAACCCCAAGGGTGCAAAGTTTGTGGCAAGGCTGTGCACACGCACGCTTCTCGGCAACGGGACAGGCGTGCTGTGCTCTGTTATAGCATTGCCTCGTATTTTGCACCAAGGGATACTGACTATTAATATCGAATACCCATTCAACGAGTATAGCATTGCATCATGCATGGGAGCATTTGCTTTAACTTACCATAACCCTACAGCTGAGATTTGAATTTTTCCAAGATTTGCACAGTTGAGACTCAGAAAATGTTTCACTGAATTTCATCACGCAAACAACACTTTGATAAAGATCCCAGTAAAATGTGTGTAAATCTTAGGAAAAACATGCCGAGTTTCAGTAGATAAAGCTAAGAGTGTATGTTCACCACATAAAATCTTAATGAATCAATTTATATTCAACACATCGAGTTTTGTTTTTCGGAAAATTAATTTGACTCAATGAATATCAAGTCATTGGCAATTTGGTTATTAAATCATTTTCAAATATGTTATAACTTCAGTCTACATTTAACTAAACAAACTGAACATTCAAAAATATGTCTTCAATTGTAATCCGCCCAGAAAGCACAATAAGAGCAAGAAGGATAAGATAAAACAAGACCCACCACCAAAGCAAGTTTGTAACCCAGCGTAAGATATGCAGCGATACGCATAAAAACCGAAAACATTCCGAACAACACAACTCACCTGCGTCGGCAGCACAATCAGCGCCACGCAGATCATGATGACCATGTACAGCTGCGAGGGCCAAATGTCCGGCACAAAGTCTCCGTAGCCGACGGTCGAAAAGGTTACCACCACGTAGTAGGTGCTCTGGAACAGATTCAGATGTCGATGACCGGCCCGCTGGAAGTGCTGAATCCCACATACGCTGAAATCCGGAAGGGTTGAATTAGTTACATGTTCAGGCCAATCATCACGTGACAAACCCGGATGGTAATTAGTTCATTCAACCACGCTCGCTCGGCAAAGTGCACATGAAATCGACTGCAAACTGATAGAGTTCCGCAAAACCAAATGGCCCCATTTTGAGCAAGCTCGCTCAGGTTGGTTGTTGAACATATGTAAATGGGCAGGCTGTGAGCGATGAACAAAAGAACCAGTGAACAATATAGAGCTATAGCAGAAGTTCAGCTACATTATTCACTTTTGCAACGGGACCGTGTTCGCCCTCTCAGGAGTGGATGCAACAGGTTGGGGAACCATATTTGCATAAACGGTTGCGCTCAGGAAGGCGGGTGGAGGGGAATTTAAATAAATTTTCCTGAAAATTGTAGCAAGCCATGGCACAGGTGGCGGTGGCGGAAATGAGTAGGTTGTGATTTACACGAACTCTGTCAGAAAGGAGATTTCAGGTTTCAGTAGCCCGAAGTATCGATTTTTATGTTAAACATCCGTCTATGCTTGTGCCGTTTATGGTAATTCTAGCGGAGAAAAACAGAGCAGGAGACACCCGCCGAGTGCTGCTTTCATGTCTCGTCATTGAAACGGGAAACAGCGCGGCGGCAAGCGGATGCGAGCTTGAGACTGTGACGACGGGGAAGGCGACGGTGGCATCCGGAGTTCGTTTTGCGGTTAGTGCACCGTTTTGACATGCCTCTTTTCCGGGCTTGTAGATTGGTTTTTTTGTTTATATCGGTTTTGTTCTTCTGAGGGAACCTTGAGAAACGAGTTTCGGGTGGCAGGAAAGACAAAAACTTTTATAATGACAAAGACTTTGCGAGCGCGGTTGAAAACTTTGCTTGAGAAGGAAGAGTATCGTGTTTCGCGCCACTTACCTGGTGAAAACTAAGCACAGCAAGGTCGCCGACAGGATTGTCAGCTGCTGGGAAAGGGCTGATTGTGACTTTTGCATCGCTCGGTGGAGGTCATTCTGAAGAGAAAAAAAAAAGATAAAAGGTGATGCCGGTGGATTGAACGTGGTCGCAGATTTCGGTGAATGATCAAGCGCCTCCATGATTGAATGCGCGCTGCCGGTGGAGAGTTCAATTTACAAGCGACGAACCTCGATTTAATGGGTTTGGCAGATTGTATGAATGTGGTTCCATTTAGCTTTGATCCGATGGTCTAACCGGTTAAGCCAAGGTATTACCAAGCCGAGATCGATTTGCGGTTGGAATTTTTTTCGGCTCACACATACATTGATGAAAATTTAGGTGCTCTGAGACTGACATATGGGTCATTCCAGCTCAAGTCATTCCAGCGTTAACAGTTAACTCATTCATCGAAAGCTCTCAATTAATAACTGTGGAAGTGCATCTAGAACAATATGTTGCCACTTTTAGGACCACAATTAAATTATGGACAGAAGTAAATAAATGAGCTAGTTATGATTTCATATAATGAGAATCCTGCCCAGAACATGTCTATACAGGGCCGGAAAAAGGGCCTATCTGCTTTGACCGATTCTCTTAATCTCACTGGATAACCACGGCTATGCAAACAGTTTTCGTGCTAATTTTGCCACATAGATTGACAAAGGAGGTTTTTATCTATCGTTCATATCGTCAAATACAACAGGGAATGTTGTTGCAGCTGAGTTATTACGAAAGAGAAAGTCTATGAAGAGAATCGATCAAAGCAGATAGGCCCTTTTTCCAGCTCTGTATAGATGTGAAAAATAACATAAAAATATGATTGTGCCATCAGCGTGAAGGAATTCAAGAAAAAATAAAAATATATTAAATAGCATTGATTTTTCACCAGAAGAGCTCAAAACTACCTCTCACTCATCTGGCCATATCTCAAAAACTATTTGTCCAAATCATTTGCCCTTGGAAACACATAAAGTAGAAAAGTTTTCCAAAGTGTGGTGAAAATTTGAGCCCAAAATGTTAAGAAATAAAAAACCCCGCCCATGGTGAAAATATGCCATTTTTTGACAATTTGGATACCTGCCGGTAAGCAGCCTGTTTACTGTAGTTACTATAACAAAAACAATTGTGATACAAACAACAGCTGTCAATACTATGAGCCACGCATCATTGTAGACGAAGTAGTTTTTCACGTTTAATTGTGTTTGTTTACCAAATTAATTATCCGTCTGTGCCGATTTCAATCACGGAGTGTCGTAGTTGTGTATAAAAGCTGAAGTTTTCGTCGTGAATTTTTGATTGGAAGTGATTTTGGGCTTTTTTATGTGCCAACGTAGTGAAGTGTTCTTTGTGTATTGTTTGATTCCTCCGACGCGCCATTCATCTAACCTCCACGTCGATTTTTCCGAGAAAAGTGCCATCTGCCCGCGAGAGTAGCGGACAATCGTTTTCATAGCAGTATTCATACCCACACGTACCACTACATCGACTCGTGAAGCCCGTGAAGAATAGCCAAAGGCGTAACACATCATACACCATACACCAGACAAACATAGCTTCAAGTCATGGAGAATTGCAACGTATGCAACAAAACGTTAAGCTCAAGCAAGTTGATAGTTTGCAGTGGATCATGCAACCGGCGATACCATCCAAGCTGTGTAGGAGTGAACAGAAGTCATCTTGCGTCATGGTCTGCTCAAGTGGGACTCCTATGGTTCTGTCAGGCTTGTCGACTGAACTTCGAGCCTGCTGTTTATGACCGTGACAAGATCATCATGAAGGCATTACGTGAGCTTCTCATCAGGATGGATTCGATGGACACAAGACTGGGAAACTATGGAGAGAATCTTCGAACCATTAACGGAATTCTTTTTGACCAGAAGAAAAGAGCATCCAACCTTTCGTTGGATCAAGCCGCCTTTCACAGGACAATCGATCAACTCACACTTGATGATTCGGTTGATCCTCTCGATCGTTCCAGATCATGCGATGATACCTCTTTCTTCGAGGTTCTCGATGATATTAACAGTACCATTCATCAACCAGCTGACAAATTCATCGTTGGTAACAAACGTGTGCAAATCGTATGTGGAAATTCCAAAAGCACCTCGTCTCAACAATCAAATCTGAAGTCCACCGACACCGGTGCCACTGCTAACGCCACTGCTGAATCGAGACCAGTTACATCTGCTAATCCTCCCAAACAACAAACCTGATGAACTCCACTTCAATTACACCTCAGCAACAAACCACTGGGCAACCTGGATCATTATCCGTATCAACCGGCTTCAATTCACTCAAGGTTGCTCGAAAAGAGCCTCAGCTGAAAATTGACGAACACCAAGTTGCATACTACGTGACATCTTGCGCACCAGATCAAACCGAAGTAGCTATTCGGGATCACATCTGTGATATTACCAACGTCGACCCCTCCATGGTGAAAGTAGTAAAGCTAATTCCCAGGGGTAAGGATCAGCGTGACCTAACATTTGTGTCCTTCAAAGCCACTGTACCAAGGAACGCTCAAACCGTCGTTGAGGATACATGGTACTGGCCAGAAGGAGTCGAAATCCGAACCTTCGAATCTCGTGAAAAAAACTACTCGAGCTCGCGATCATCAGGAAACACTTGATTGACAAGCAACGTGTTATCGCTGCACACACCTGTACCAATACTTACAAGCTGCTCACATCGGACGTCGTCGTACTCAATGTTCCTGTCAATCCTGAACGCACTGCCTGTCACCTTATGGAAGCCCCTAAGCCTATCAACCCAGTCGCGCTTGCTGGTTCCTGTCATCTTAGCCGTTCTGGACCTGCGGTCGAAAATGGTGATGGGGGCTTCCAACCTCCTTTTTCAGGCAAGTATGTGTTCGATAGAATCATTCCATTGCCTGATGACTTTTCGTGTTCCAGCACAGCATTTCGCCTCTCCCATTTCATCAAAGCTTATCATCACACGAATAAACTCTCCAAACCAGAATGCACGGCCTGTTGCCTAATGGAAGCCCCTGATCCACTCGACTCAGTCGCGCTTGCTGGTTGCTGCCATCGTAGACGTTCTGGCCCTGCAGTTGAGCTTGGTGACGGGGTCTTCCAACCTTCCACTTCAGAAGGATTGCAAGAACACTGCATCTTGCCTTCGCCTGACGAAATTGGATGCAGACACGGCGAACCTAGTGAATGTTCTACTCCATGCATCGATGACATCTCTAATGGCCTATCACCGATACCAGAACGCACTGCCTATTGCGTTATGGAAGCCCCTAGCCCTCTTGACCCAGTCGTGCTTGCTAGTTCCAGTCGCCTCAGTCGTTCTGGCCCTGTGGTTGAGAGTGGTGACGGGGTCTTCCAACCTCCTGACACTGGCAAGTATGCGTTTAATAGAACTGTTCCATTGCCTGATGTGCCTGCATGTTCCAGCTCAGCAACTCGCCACTCTGATTATCTCCACCAAAACTTGCGAATCTACTACCAGAACGTGCGTGGACTAAGGACAAAAATTGACGACTTCTACCTGGCTGTTGGCGAAAAAGAATACGATGTCATTGTTTTGACGGAAACGTGGCTTGACGAGTGCATCTTTTCATCGCAGCTATTCGGGAATAATTTTTCTGTCTTTAGAACTGACCGCCAACCACTCAACAGTAAAAAAATCGAGGAGGTGTAGTTCTCATAGCTTTTTCATTTATTCGACTTCAACGTACCGGTGTCCACGCTGCAACGACGGTTTACTGACCATTTTCGTAATACTTGACTAAATTTGTGTAATTTTATCTATGTATATTTGTATGAACCCTACATTATGTTATTCATTAAGACAAAAAAGTGTCAGATGAATTATATCAAATAATAATAATAAATAATAATAATAATAATAAAATGTGGGTACACCTATAAGAATCCACATTAAAAAACTTTCAAATTGACGTTCGAAGATCACGAATAGCTTATTTGGTTGTGGAGTAATGTCTTCTGAAAGCTTAAATTTTTAAAAATCTCGAAAATCCTGGGTTGTAGCCCAGAAGGATCTGGGCACTTATAGAACCAAATAAAAAAGGCATTTGTTCATAATGCCAAAATAAGCGTTTTGGCCAATTTTGGCTAAAATCGGTGACATCGACCACAGGTAGTGTACCCACTTGAGTTGGAATGACCCATATACAAGCGTCAATTTTGACATAAAATTAAGTGATAATAGACGCGAAATTCAGCTCAATCAAACGTACTTTCAAACTTTTCAGTATCGGAGCACTTAATTTTACATTACACATTTGTTTACGTCTCATCCTCTATGTCAAAGATGAATTCCGTCACGTGTTAGGTATTTCTAAGTGTGTAGATTAATGCATTGGCTGGATTAGGAAGCTCTTAACGCTAAGTAAGACTAAGTTGAGAGCCAGAACACATTAGAAGCGTTAAAAGCCAAGAAGTATCAAGTCAATATAATTTTATTCTGTTGACATTTTGAATGATAAAAATCGGTCGCAACTTTCTTTTAAAAATTGTTTTTTTTTTCTTCAAATCATAGCCATGAATTAATGAAGTTTGTAGTATCTACACATTTATCGACTAAAATTAGACAGGTAAGGGACTAGAAAAGAGGGGGTTAGTCGTGGGAAACAGGGAAGAAAAATAAGTAGCAGGGGAGATCAGGGGGCGGTGTCAGTAGGTTGACTTTTCCTGCTGAAATATTACAAAATATTATTATTAATTATCTTTTATTTTCAGTAAATAACTAACAGTAAATTGAAACAAAGCCGGCCTGTTGCTAAATTACATATAGCAACAAGCCTGCTTTAGAGTGTTCACTCGGCTGTCGAAAGATGCAGACCACTCTTAATGTGTTTCACGCGATCGTCTGTTTTCTCGGCAGCAACCATTGTGTGGTTCTCCTCATTGTTCTTCATCAGCAGTTCTTTCAGTCGATGCGTCGTTGACTTTGGAAAGCAACCGTTTCGTGATGAATGTGTGAGTGCTGACCACGTTTTGCGTCCATTGCTGCAATGGGAGCGCTCTTGGCGCCCCGTTGGCGAATCTGCCATACATGGAAACCACTG